TCTCTTAAAAATGCACATGACTATGAAATTGATTTACTCTAAATTGTGACTCTATCAACCTTGCTCCCTTAGGGATTCCAAACAATTCCTGGAAGGTGCCCATGTGTGTCTCTATTGCGGGGAGGAGGCCAGATATTGGGACATTATTACACATAACAGGAAACTTATAGGATTGAGGGCCGAAGAATGGAAGTGAACTCATGACTTTGTCATTGTTTCATAGTGACGGTCCCCTTTTAAAAGGCTATATTTCAAAAAATTCCAAGTCTATAGAATAAAATAAAGAATAACAAATATCAACTATATCTTCCTTTATAGATTTGTTGAATTTACTAATGAGTCAATCTAAATATATAGTCCAAATTAACAGTTGTTCTTATTGTAAACTGATATTCTGTTTTATTTGTTTTATATATTAGTATCTGTTAAATCTGTGAACGTAAAGTTTTTTTCTAAAATTCTGAATATATCAAGTGTGTGTACTGAAAAACATGATTTTTCTGGACTGTAAATATGACACTATCCCAAGATCATGGTGGCCCCAAAATGTTGTTACTGGCTTCTTAAACTTTGGACCCATCAGCAGAGCTTCTCAGAGCTTCATGCATTTGCTTTCCTCCTAAGTGGAAAGAGAATATGGCCTAGTATTCCAGGCAGAGAGTAAAGTTTGTGTTAATGTACAGAGAGAGCCAAAAAGGCAGTAAAGGACATAGGAATTGTTATTATGGTCCCACATTTGTGCCTGAATCCTTCATTCCCCTCTTCTCTCAGTGACCAGTCCCAAAGCATTGAGACTTGAGAGTCATTGCCTATAAAGTTCATGAAACTAATATGGAAAACATTAAGACAAGATTATGAAAGTGGGGTTAGGCATCAATCTTTTCTGGCATGTTCCTCACAGACTGCAACTTCATAGATACCTTGCAAATTGCCCTTTTTTGTGATCTAGAGTGAGTTGAATCAGTGGTAACCTTTATTGTGGCCTAAAAGTCTCCCTATTTGACTAACTCCACAACTTTCTCTCCTTTTTCCTCTTGGAGGTTTATCTCTATAGTGTGGTTCCAGACTCTGTCCACGGTGATGGGTGTGATGAAAGAAGACATACACTGCCTTATGCTTAACATTGAACACAGACTACCATACAATTCCCTAAAAGAGAGTCTGGAGTCATTCAAAACAAGACAGGAGTGACAGAGAGAGGTCTCAGAAGAGAACAGTGGGAAAGAGAAATACAGATTTAATCCTAAGATTAAATTTATATAGATTTCATCCTAAGAAATCCGTAGATTTAATCCTGAGAAAGTAAATTTATGACTCAAATTTACAAGTATAAAACTCAAAAGGTGCTAAGTACAGAAATGAGGCTGGTTTACACAGCACTTACTGCTGTGCCTTTTTGGTATAACCTCCTGCCCTACAGTGTCTAGACAACTAGAAACATTATTTCCCAAACTTTCGGCAACTAAAGTACTTCATGTGACCTAGGTCCTGGTGCCTAAAAAAAGATGGAAAAGGAGGAGGGTGAATCCTAAGGTAGTGACATGAATGATTTCATATATGCTGAGGTAGTTGTACTGAAGTTACACAGCTGATCTTTAGCATCATAGGTATAAAGCTGCAGGTGGCAGATAGTTTCTGATGCTATTTAGCACCATTCCTGCCCCTCCCCCATTCTTTGTATTCAGTGCCCTGGACTTTGAAATACATTTTCCAGACTGTTGACATCTGGTTTCAATGAAAGCCCTATTGATTTGATTTACTGTTAGGAGTCTAGCAAACAGCCAAGAACAAAGAAGCCAAGAGTGAAATAGAGTAAGGTCCATGAAGTGGGCCAGAGGAAAGGACTTGGAATGTATCCAGGCCCTTTTCTGACTATCACTGCTCTTTTTTGTGTGTGCTTTGGCATGCTCTCCCTCATGCGCTGTATTAATGTTTTCCCTGCTTCTCAGTCCCCTGTCATTGTTCTGCTTTGGTCACTTTCTCTCAGATTTTGCTCATAAATTTTCTGCTACCTAGCATCACCCTGCCCCCAAACTTGTGTAAATCTTAACGCTCCTTCAAGGTGCAGCTCAAGCACCATCCCCCACCGAAGGCCCGCCTCTGTGATGGTTCCCTCAGGCAGCATGTTTGCGAACCTTGGCGTTATCCACCTTACTACAGTGCCTTTTTGGTATGACCTCCTGCCCTACAGTGTCTAGAAAACTATGTGTCTTATCCACTGTCAGTGCTACTCTCCAATTGTTCTCTTTTATTTAACGGAAACTAAAGTTTTATTCCACAAGACCAAGAGAGTAACTTCACGGTAAAGGCCATATATTTGGAGCCCTTGTTGTCTGTGCAGAGCCTGGCACAGAGTTGGAATTTAGTATTAGTTGAATGAAGGAATGAATTAAAAAGCGAATTTACAAATGCTGGCCCTGGAGCTGTGAGAAAGATCCCTACGTCTGAGGAACTTAAAATTTTGAAGCAGACAGTTGCAGGTCGATGGGTCTCCTAAATCGAGGAGAAAACCTAGTGATATTTCGGTTTCAGCTTTCACTGATTGTGTCGGGCTGGGCAGATTTCCCCAACCTTAACATAGTGGTAGGTAAGCGCCAGTAGACTGAGTCTCCAACGGGAGAGACGACCTCCGGATGTTGTTTCCTCACTACGTGTCAGACACTGTGCACTAAGCAGGCCCAGCGTTAAAACCGTCCTTTTCTGAGGAAGGAGCAAAGCCCTTACCCGCGAGGCCCTATAGCTCAGGGGTTAGAGCACTGGTCTTGTAAACCAGGGGTCGCGAGTTCAAATCTCGCTGGGGCCTGCACAGCGTTTCTTATTGTTTTACAATCTTCACCCGCCACACTTCCTTCTAACACCTTCCGCCAACATTAACCACCGCGGACGTCCCACTAATTATATCTTCTCGTCTAAATTCGGAATAAACGCCCGCTGAGCGGCCCCTGAGTTTCAAGTTCTAGTGCGCAAGTGCCATTTGCTGCCTGGAATGTGGCGGGGGCCCCTGGAACCTGTGCGGCGGCTCCGGCCTCCGCCGACGCCCTGGCCGCGCAGACCCCCGGCCAGACCCGCGTTAGAGGCCGGAACCGAGCCGGCCGGGGGCGGTGGGAGAAGAGAATGGGGCCCTCAGCACCTTGTCAGGGCAGGCTGGGAGCCGAGAACCAAGTCCTCCTCCCGAAGGGGAGGAGCCGGCCTCGGCCGTCCGGGCTGGGCGTCCGGGACCGTGGGCGGCCCGCGAGGCCCGTGTTTCCGCGAGCTTCCCCTCAGCGTCTCGGCGGGGGGAACTGGGCCACGCTTGGTGTTTGGGTCACTGCCTTTGGTTCCCAAGTTGTGGCTTCCGCTTTGAAAAACCTTAAAATATTCTCTCCAGAAGCCACTTTTCACACACGCTTGGGCTTCCTGTGCGTTTTCTACAGCCTCCTCTCCCTCCCTGAGCCTGCGGACACACAAGCCGCCGCTTGTGTGAGGGACGCGGCTCGCCTGGGCGCGGAGGCCCAGACCCGAGCTCCGAGCCCGGCCGCGCCCCCTGGCGCGAGGTTACACGGTCAAAACTGTGCGTCGCAGCGTCGCAGCGCCTCAGCGCCCGGGCTCGGGGGCCGGGCCCGCGCCTGCTCCAGACTCGCCCATGCCAGGGCCTGCTCCTGGCCCGCGCCCGCGCGCTCAGTGAAGCCAACAGCCGGCGGCGGAGGCTGCACCCGTCAGCCCTGCTCGGAAGGCCCTCGGCAAAGAAGGGGAATCAGTTCTAGAAGGGCTGTCTCCAGAACTGCGAAAACCTGCTCACAATCTGGTCTTGAGTGTCCCTGCGGTGGCTACTCGGTAGCAGCCAGCAAATTCCCATCCACGCCTGTTTCTCCATATCCTGAATAGACGATTGTTGGCAGCATTTCCCCGCGCTCCCTTCGATAGCTCAGCTGGTAGAGCGGAGGACTGTAGAGCTACTCACGTGGTCATCCTTAGGTCGCTGGTTCGATTCCGGCTCGAAGGAGGGGCTCCTGTTTTGGGGGTCCCGCAAATCCCCCAGGAAGCACTGTTCCCCAGTTACTTCCTTGGTGTTCTGGAGTTGCTTTCTCCAAACTTTACCCGTGTCTGAAAGCAAAGCTGAGCGTTGTGGCCATTATTTGCGCTTTACATACCACATCTTGAAAAATGGAGACTAGTCTTGGACACTCTGCGCCAACTTTTCTAGCCTGTTGGAAGAGTTTTGAGTTGCTTTCCCTAACATCTCATCTTTTGGCTTGTACTTGACCCTGGATTGATGTTTGAGGTTCAAAAGTCTGAGACTTCAACGCGCGAGCGTCCTGGGGCTCAGGACCCTACAGCCTGGCAAACAGCTCCGCTAAGGCCCCGGACGCGCGCTGTCTGCGGGCGGAGCGCGCGCCGAGCCCCGGGGGGCAGGTGGGCTCGCGCGCGGCCTGAGGGCTGAAGTCACCCCTCCCCGCACCCGCGGGCGTCGCGAGGGGTCCAGGACGCGGATCGGGGAAAATAAGCGAGGCTAGGGTCAGAATCATATATGGGACTTCATGAGCGTGGGAGAAAGAACCGAACCAGCAAAATGTATTGGTCACAATCGGGAATAAAACTCCGAGGCAGGCGGGAAGCCAAAAGCTGACGCGAAAGCAAAGATCTGAGAAAACAAACAGGAGCTCCCTGCACCGCGGCTCGTTGGTCTAGGGGTATGATTCTCGCTTTGGGTGCGAGAGGTCCCGGGTTCAAATCCCGGACGAGCCCTGCTTTTGAAATTTCTTTTTAAGGAACTACTGAAGAAAGGGCAGTTCTGCAGAAACTTTCTCGCGTTCCCAAAAACTCTTCTGCCAGAGACAGGTACACTGAACTTGGCAGATGGCGCTGGTGACCAGGACGGAACTGCGCGGCGCCTGGGAGGCGCCGCCTGCTTCCCGCGGCCAGAGGCGCTGTCTGGTAGCCGGCCGCCCCGCGTCGGGCTGGGGTGGGGGTGCCAGTGTCCCTCTCCGGGCTCGCTCGCCCGGTGGGCAGGGACCCGCCCGCAGCGCTAGGGCAGGCGGCTGCTTCTGCGTCTACTCGGGTGGCGGGTCTCCCAGGCGGGCGGGGCCCCCTCCGAGAACAGGGTGCGGTCCAACACCCCGAAGTGAGCACTGCTCTCCTCGCTGCACCCCTGCACCCCATCCCGTCGCTGTACACGCGCGCGCGCGCCCTCGCCTCACGCAGTTCCAAAGCAAATTCAAAAGTTCGTCTTTGGTTTTCTACCAGCTCCCACCATCAGACACAGGAGGACGACGCGGGCGAGAAGGAAAAACTTTTTCCATCGTCCTGCGGGCTCCTGCAGCCGTCTTCCGAGGCCGAGGTGGGTTCACACTCTTCGCGCTCTTTTTTGGTCGCTTTAGGCGGGGCATTTGGCCGGGGGTGTCCCTTCCTAGCAGTGGCCGTATGTGGGTCTTCCTGAAGCCTTTGTGACCGGAGGTGCTGAGGCGGGAAGCAAGGTAGAAGGGAAGGGAGTGGGAGTCCTGCTCCTGTGAGAGCTGGTCATTCTCATTCCCACCCGACGCTGCCTTTCGCCGCTGGGCAGAGCCGCCTGCGCCAAAGCTTGTTGCCTAGAACTTGGGGCGCTAAGGCGGGCCACAGAATTGGCAGAGCGAGGATATGCCTGCGGAAGCCTGCACTTACTCAGAACTTGAGGAGTGTTTGTTTGGCACCCAAGCTGATGGCCACATTCACGAAGCAGGCCTTGTCCAGCTGTTGCCAGCACTAGGGACATTTGGGGACTAATGTTCTTGTTCTGTTTACTCACCTCTGCCTCCTCACCCCTAACCCACTCTAAGCCAGGGTTGTGCAATTCTCGGAGACACTTTGCCGACCAGTCTCTTCTCTAAGCTTTCTTGCTGGACCGTTGTCTCCTCCACTTTCTCACTCTGAGACAGCTCATCAAATGGCAATAGCTCATGGGTAAAGCAGAACATCTTTATTTAGGAAGGACAGTAAAGACAGTTTCAGAACCATTCTGGGGACTAGGAAAATCTCAAAGGAGCCAAGACCTTCTTTCTGTGTCATTAGAACCTTGTAATCAAATCATAAATTGTAAACACTAGAAACCCAGTGATATAATTATCTGAACAGCACATGAGCAACTTCCCAGAAGCGACCTCCGGTGTCAAATAACTACTTAAACATGCAGTTACTAACTAGTTAGTTAGTGCAAGAGAATAATAGTGTTACAATGCTGTATTTCAAGCAGTTTCTTTTAGAAATAAAGGGGAATACGTATATTTTTGGAATTTATGAAAATATGCAAAGTTGGTTTTTTAAGAGCAGCAAAATTATTTTTGATTTTCTAGAAATGACTATTATGGACAATGAAAGTGGTGCGGTGCATTGGAAAGTTAGTCCCAGGAACTCAGATGTTCCTAGGGCAAAACATGGTTTCTTCCTTCTTTCTTTCTACTGTAAAATGAGAAACTGACAAATATTTTCCATCCTCCCTTTCTTACTCTATAACTGTGTGGGATGGCAGAAAGTTACATAAAAGAAGGCAATGTGGAGAAGAAATATTCCAGGAGACGAGGAAGGGCTGACTATTGTTAAAAGAGTGGATGTCCAGCTATAAGCAGGCAAAAGTAAGGGGCTTGTCAACTTATTGTTGGGCACATTTGCTGGTGTGATATGTAAATTAGAGTAGATGGATAAGAAAGTCAATTAAAGTAAACTGGCGAAACCCCTCTCTAAGAGTTACATTTAATCTGACTCTGAGCAAAGCAATCTCTGTAACCAGTTATCCTCAGAATAACTTGAAATGTCTGGGAAAGAGAGGCAAGGGCAGAGAACTCAGAGTTTGTGAAAGAGTGAATGTTTAACTTTGTGTTTGTTTGGAAACATAGGTATGTCAGCAGAACTTTGTCCCCCCTCTACTTCAGTCAATAGTGCCCCCCTCTGTGGAGACAGGACCCTATTTTCATGTGAGCTTTTAACCATTACTTCTGTTACTAAATACATTTCATGCCTCTAGACCTAAAAAAAAAAAATTACATTTATAAAGAAGAGATTTTTTTCACTTGCCTCCATTACCTAATTTTATAATTAGTCTTAAGAACAGAATGAAGCACATATACTCTCTATAAAGGGGGAAGGCACACCTGGACTAGAAGGGGAACTAGTACTTTCTGGGTCTTATGAACAGAAACTGTTGGCTTGAAGGAGAGGGAAAAAAAAAAAAACATTTTAGGAAAAGGGAAATGACTATCATGTTACAGCATTCGGGATATTTTTACATGTGTGGTCACTTTTTTTCAGTTGACAATTATTTCACACCTTTTTGAAGTGATTGACAAAAATATAATGCTTATTAATCATAGATTATAATTCCTTACATTTTGAAACACACATGAGCAAGCACAAAGATTGAAATAGTAAAACTTTTTCAGTATTTAAATTTTTTTAATTGGATTAACACTGCATCATAAAATCATGAAGCTCTGGGTCTGCATCATTATAAATCAACATCTGTTTTATAGGTAATTCACTAAAATTCCATTTCTATTCTTCACCTCACACTGACCCCCTTTACTTGATTTACTTACTCCTCTTCCCCTTTTTTCTTTTAATAAACAATAATTGGAGCTTATACTCTAAAAGTTTATTTTTGTTTTATTTACTTCATCCATTTGTTTGATTTCTGATTATCCCACATATAAATGAAACCATACAGTATTTGTGTTTCATCAGTTGACTTATTTCACACAGCATACTACCCTCTAATTCCACTTACATTGTTCCAAATGGCAGGCGTTTTTAACAGCTGAATAGTATTCCAGTGTGTGTTTGTGCGTGTGTGCATATGTGTTCCTAAATATACATATATCGCCTCTTTATCCAGTCATTGGTTGATGGGCGCTTAGGATGTTCTAACTCTTGGCTACTGTAAATAATGCTGCTCTTATTTTCTGTTTTACCATAACCGTATTGTGCCAAACTGAAAAGAAAAAAAATTACAATGAAAGCAGTCACTGCTTTCACCACCTGGCTTTTTGCATAGTCATCTATGTGGGCAGCTAGTGAAATCTCCAAAGGTTGTCAGATGAAATCCCAGAGACAGGAAGGGACCTGACTGTCAGGTTTAGGGATTGAAGCCTGCACTCAGCACTACCACAAAACGTTCAGTCCGGAGGATGGTCTGTTGGTGTGGGTTGGTGCTTGAAGTGGTGTTTCTAGAGGTGGGACTCTGTGTGTGTGTGAGAGAGAGAAGTTGGAGTGGGATCCCTGATCTCTATTTTTAGGTGATTTAGCAGAGAAGGGCCATATCAATGAAGCTGGAAGTTGACTGCTTCTTTTCTTGGGAACTGCTGAGGCCACGGGGGTGTGACAATGGGCTGGCGGTTATCACTTCCCCCTGCCCCTGCAATAAATTACTGGTTGATAGCTTTTTAGAACTCAGTTCTTCAGTGTCCTTTTCAAAAGCAATGTGTGATTACTTTAAAATAAGTGCCAATCTAAAATCTGGAATGGCATGTTTGCCCACAAAAGGCAAGTGAGCATTTGAGCACTAAGTTGGATGTCAGTAGAGGCCCCAATCTATGGGTCCCATGGCACATTACTTCTCTTTGCTCCTAAAAAACTTGGAATGTTATGTTTGGCAGGACAAATGTACTGGTCAGACACATGCCGGTACTTTCCTTTCTAGATTTTAGTCACCCTGAGTTCATGTACTGGGAGAAAGGTAGTATGTAGCAGTTTGCTTGGTCTTCTCAATATGTTTTTTCCTTTCAGATCATGATTTGGGGTTGGGGATACAGGGAAAAGGGAATGTGGATCCTCCATACCTCCTTTTTTCTTGGGATTTTGCTTGGCACCCAGAATTGCTGCTGTTTAAGGTAAAATGTAGTGTCAGGCAGGGAGCCTCTCATCAGGACAAAAGTCTTGGTATGAGGATATCTGCTGAAAACAGCAGGCTGAAATTATGGCCAGATTAGCATGACCAGCTAGACCACCTTGACCGAAAGTTAAATATAAACAGAAACTAGAGATAGGATGTTTTAATCAGCAGCAACAATTGAGCCCCCCCAAGCAACAGCCCCTATTCATTCTCCTCTAGCTTGTGCCAGACTATTATGCATCCCAATCCACATCTCCACCCACATCTTCCTCCACACATTCCTCCATGGACTTGCCCACCTTCCCTGAATCTGATACCCAATAAATGTAAGACTGGCCCAGAAATTGCTGGCTGTATCTCCAAAGATGTAGCACCTCTAGCCTCTCTCTCTCTCTCTCTCTCTCTCTCTCTCTCTCACTACTGGGATTTTTGAGTTATTTTTTCCTTTGTCCTGTGCTGCTCCCAAGATTGCCACCCTGCGAGGCAACAAGGGAAGAGGACAGGTTGGTGGGGGGGGGGAGTGAAGCTTGGGCAAGACAGTGCCCCAAGAAAGCTGAAGTAAAAAGCAGGTGAAATAGGTCCTTTTATAGGTTCTCCATGTTGCCCACCTTTCCTCCTCCTGAAATCAGGAGGGGCCCTTTCAAAAATGTTCTTAAGATAGGCTGGAAAGCACACATCCAAGGGTGTATAAACTGCTGACAGCTGTTTAGAGCAATACCCCTTAGCGATTTTTGCATTAGAACAGCAACCAAAGCCTCAAAAATGAAGGCCTAATCACTGGCCTTCTAGGAATTATCAGTAAGCAGAGCTTTTCTGGGAAGCTTGGAAGCCTTCCTTCTCAACCTGGGAATCAGGCCTGCCTTATTTGTTCACTGCTACCAAACCCAATCATGTCTATAATCATGTCTGTAGGCCTTAAGAGAAGCTGGGGGTGTTTGAGAGATTGTGGTTGCTAAGGTGAGATCAAATGGTGCATTCCTAAAGACAGCGAGAAATAGCAAAAGGAACTGGGGTCCTAGGAGTCAATCCCAATTTTAAGAAACTAAGAATGCAGATTACTTTCTTCTCAAGGGTTCCATCTAATGGAGAGACAATGAGATCAATTAACCATCAAAGTAGTAATGGCTAATGGCCTGTTTCCACAATTAAAACTAAGCTAAGTAAAACCAGGTCCATCCCATCCATGTTATAGGAACTCCAGGTTGGCTCACATTCTTCTCTGAACATTGCTGACATTCCCAAGGGGGTGTATACATGCTTGCAAATTAGCCTTGTTAACCTACACAGTCAGCCAAACTCTTGCTTACTTGCCTGCTGCAGCTCCCTGGGTAAAATCTCTCCCTTCCATACACAGAGACTATGCCATGAAGATGCCAACACAGTGTCCTCTTCTTTTTTCATAGAGCAGAGAGTCTGGTCTGATGCCCTAGATCGTGTCCAGACTTGCCTCAAATCTGTCCTATAGCATCCTCAAGCCGGGG